ATGTCCCAGCAGAAGTAACTGATACTGTCAATATCTTACCAAGGTTACCCAATGATGCTGGTACAATTAAAGTCAATTTAAAGAGAAAATTGCAATACAAAAGCTCAGCATTGTCTCTCAATATAAGGCCACATAAAGTTGTTCAAGCAGCCAATTGGCTAGTTAATAACAGCACTCTCTACAAACAGGAAGGAATAACTGTAAATCAAGACTGGGGAGTAAACAGTTTATTAGGTCAAACTAATCCTGAAAATCAAAATGAACAATCAGAAGAAATACAAAACACCAGTAGCTGCAATAAGCAAAGTAATATTAGTGGAAGTGATGTCACTGATAGTGATGATCAGTGGACTGAAGATGAGGCAGAAATACCTGCTGGTGTTACTGACACCATGTTGACGAACACAGAATTTGTTGAAGACAGTGAGCCTCAACATATATTAAATGTTGCACCAGGAGAAGGAACCAAACCCCTAAGTATATTCAGAGATCAATATTCTGAAGAATTAGCGTATCCTGGTATATTCCTTGGTCAAGGTCGGCCGGAAAATAAAGATAGACTAGTTAACGTTCATTATAGCGACATCTGTAAATCTGAACTAAGACGCTCAGATAGGAGAGCTGCTATGTGTGTTGAAAACATATTCTTTAAAACAAAAAAACTTCAAATGAAAATTATGTTAGGGAAATCACAAGTTGCTCTTAGGAAGTGCAAAGGAAATAATAGTTCTTTAAATGCAGGACAGTTGAAATGTGAAGGAGCAATAGAGCGCTTGATTCATCTTGATGAAGGATTCCAATTCTTGAGAGCATTAAGAGGTTCACCACCATATTTTGAAAAGGCTAAGAAAGATTTGTTTGCAATGATTAGACAATTAGGACCATCTTCTATATTCTGTAGTTTTTCTTCAGCAGAAACACAATGGATACATTTCCTTCGAATACTTGGCCAGGTAGTTGATCACAAAGACTACACTACCAGTGAGCTTGAAAATATGACCTGGGATGAGAAATGCAGGCTTATTCAAAGTGACCCAGTGACATGTGCCAGACATTTTGATTATCAAATTAGTCAATTTCTCACGAACTTTCTTTTTGGTAAAGCTCAACCATTAGGCAAAATTTCTGACTGGTTTTACCGAGTAGAATACCAGCAGCGGGGCTCACCCCACATACACATGCTTATATGGCTTGAAGATGCACCAGTATTTGGAGTCGACGACGATGCTGCCGTTACAGACTTTATTGATAAAATAATTAGTTGTCAGTGGCCAGTTGATAATACAGAATTACATAAACTAGTGAACAGGCAAATTCACAGGCATTGTCACACTTGTAGAAAAAAGTCAAAGAATGAATGTCGATTTAACTATCCACAACCTCCTATGAGAGCAACTGAAATTCTTTACCCTTTAGAAGCAGACATGCCACAAAATAAAATAAAACAGCACAAAGACACTTGGAAAATAATCAACAAGCAATTAAATGATATGAAAGAAGGCGAACCTATAACATTTGAACAACTACTTGTCAAATTAAAAGTTACTGAAAATGAATATCGACTAGCTGTGAGGTCATCGTTAAATTCACCAACTGTGTTTTTAAAAAGAAAACCAAATGAGTTAAGAATAAACAACTATAATCCTGCTTCCCTCGAGGCGTGGAGAGCAAACATGGATATCCAGTTTGTACTTGATGTGTATGCATGTGCCATGTACATAGTTTCATATATTTCTAAAGCACAAAAAGGAATGAGTGAACTTTTACGACAAGCATGTGCTGAAGCCAGAAAAGGAAATTCTAGCATAAAGCAACAAGTCCGAGACATTGGAAACAAATTTTTAAACAGTGTCGAGATAAGTGCACAAGAAGCTGTTTACATTGTTTTACAGCTTCCTATGAAGAAGTCTTCTCGTCAAGTAATATTCATAAATACCACTCCTCCTAATGAAAGAGTTCAGCTTTTAAAATCAATAAATGACATTGAAGAAATGGATGATGATTGTGAAGATGTATATACCAATGGTCTTTTGCAAAGATATGCAAAACGCCCTTTAAGCCTTGAATACTTAACATTGGCAGATTGGGCTGCATGGTATGACTCATGTGGAAAACCATATGCAAAAAAATCATTCGAAAGAGATTCTGATAACCTTCCATTAGAAACAGCTGATGATGAACAAAATGACGATGACCTTTTTGAGGATAATCTCATCAATCCCAAAAGTAACAAAAAAAGATCAAAGGCTAGAATTATCAGAAGTGTTTGGTATAACTGTGAAAAAGATCCAGAAAAACATTATCGTGAATTAATAATGCTGTTTACGTCATGGAGAAATGAGGACACTGATTTGTTAGCTAACTGTTCCTCCTACCAAGAACATTTCATAAATGTAAAAGATAGTATAAATAAGCAAATGAAACTATATGCTGTTTGCAGTGAAGACTTAGACAAAATCCATGAACACTTGATTCATCTTGATGAAGACAATGATCATTTTGACTCAATAGCACCATTTACACAAAACAGAGAATACCAGGATGAGGCTGAGGGTCTTCGAGATTTGCATCCTGATCTCAATGAAAACTATGATTTATCAGAAGATGTTGGAATTCCATCAGCAATAGAAACTAGTGAACCACTGATACTAAATGAATTACAAGACCAAGAGTACAGACAATTGGTGCAAACACTAAATCAAAAGCAAAAGGAATTTTTTTATCATATCTTGCATATTGTTAAAACATCAGACAAACCATTCTACTATTTCCTCTCTGGAGGAGCTGGAGTGGGCAAGTCCCATCTGGTCAAATGTCTATATCAAGCAGCACTAAAATATTACAACTCCAGAGCTGGTGAAGACTTCAATGATGTTAAAATACTGTTATTAGCACCAACTGGAAAAGCTGCTTTTGGCATACAAGGTAATACAATACACAGTACCTTGGCAATTCCAGCAAGCCAGTCACTAAAGATTTATAAACCTCTTGACTCAAGTAGACTTAACACTCTGAGATGTAAACTTCGTGCAGTGAAACTAATATTTTTGGATGAAATTTCAATGGTTGGCAATACTATGTTTAATGTACAAATAAATAACAGATTAAAAGATATTATGGGCAGCAAAGAACCATTTGGAGGTGTAAGCATGATAGCACTTGGTGATTTATTTCAGTTAGAACCTGTTATGGATGGTTATGTGTTTAAAGATATGAACAACTCAGAATATCGAGCTCTTGCTCCCAACTTGTGGCAAGAACTATATACAATGTTTGAATTAGAAGAAATTATGAGACAAAAAAGAAAGCAAAAATTTGCTCAACTTCTTAACAGGTTAAGAGAAGGTAATCACACTCCAGAAGACATTGCAAAACTTAAAGAGAGATGCATTTCAGAAAATTGTACAAATTACCCTATCGATGTCCCCCATTTGTTCATACAGAATTCTAAAGTTGATGAGTTTAATAGGAGAGTTCACATGGCTGCAACTGGTGAAAAGTATACAATTAAAGCCTTAGATAGTGTTGTGGGTGCTAACTCTGCAGAACTAAGGGATAAGATCTTAAAGCAAGTACCACTTGATCCTAGAAAAACTAAGCAATTACCTTTAAACCTTCAACTTGCTGAAGGTGAAAGAACAGAAATCGCAGTGAATCTAAGGACTGATGATGGCATGACAAATGGTGCTGCTAATATTGTAAGGAAGATACAATTACATGACAAAAACAGACCTTCTGGAATAATATGGGTAGAATTTGACCAAGCACATGTAGGAGGAAAAACTAGACATGATTACAGGCACTTATTTGTACAAGGTATTGAACGCAAATGGACTCCTATCAAACCTATCACTGCACAATTTGCAGTTGGAAGAAACAGAACAGCTCAGGTTGTGAGAAAGCAATTTCCATTGAGACCTGCAGCTGCTAAAACCATTCACAGATCACAAGGTGACACTGAGACAAGAATAGTAGTTAACTTTAACACCAGGAGAGCAATACCTCACATTCATTATGTAGGATTAAGTAGAGTAACAACTATAGAAGGGCTTTACATAACTGACCTTTGTGAGAACAAAATAGCTGTAAATCGTGATGTTAAAGCAGAAATGCAACGCTTACGGACAGAAAAGCATCTCCACTTTTCTTTAACTCCTATTTATGAAATACATGAACCTACTGTTAAGTTATGCTTCCTTAATTCAAGATCATTGCATAAACATATAGAAGACATACGCAAAGATTTGAACTATTCACATACTGATGTCAGTATATTCTCAGAAACAAGGTTATATACTTTAGACAGCAATACTGCATACACAATTAGTGGCTACAGTTTATTTAGAAATGACAGTCAATGCACAACATGTAATACCAGACCTTATGGTGGAACAGCTGTGTATAGTAAAATAAGTTTTATTCCTGGGTATCCAGTTTGCATGAACACAAATGGCGTAGAAATAACTATTGTAAAACTTGAAAAAATACCACAAATTACCATAATAGGTGTGTATCGGTCACCCAGAGTGCCTGTACGACAGATGTGTTTAGCATTAACAGAACTTCTGACTATGAACTGTTCCCAATTTAAACTATTTATGGGTGATTTTAATGTGAACTGGTCAAATGAAAAAGAGAAACTTCCTCTTTATAATTTGTTCATTAGAGAAAACAGCTACAGGCAATTAATATCATGTTATACAACTGACAACAGAACCACCATAGACCACATTTATACTAATTTACCTGAATCACAGGTGAATTTGCACATTTTAGAAACATATTTTTCAGATCATAAAGCAATCTGTGCATTAATTCGAACATAATTGCTGCTGTAGACAGCCGTCAATATTCTTGAAGCCATCGATAAATTAACCGTAAAAGTGTCAAAGAAACTAGAAATATCGAAAATAAAACTCTTTTGTGTGGTGTAATTGAGCTTAAAAGAGGATTCTGTTGCTTAAATGTTTCAAAAGGAAGCTTTAATACCACATCTGTAAATGAGCTCCAAGCGTCGTAACTTGGCCGGGTAGGATTAGTTATTTGCTTTGTATTTTATAAACAAATAAAAGCATGAGTTGACATCTGTAAATGAGCTGCAATCGTCATAACTCCAGTAGGATTAGATATTCGCCTTGTGTTTTATAAACAAATAATAGCACGTGTTGTACGTAGTATTAAAACATGCAACTAACAGCAGCACTCATTTCTCATTGAGAACTGCTACATGTAGTTTAAATTTTCTTGTGTTGTTTGAGGTTGCTGTCTAATTTTGGATGGTAACCCTGAACGCTCTCTTTTCCCCGCCATTTGATTAAAACTTACAAAGGCAAGTATTACTTTGCTTTAAACATTACATTACAACTTTACATGTACAACGCAAAAATACAATTTCTTTAATTAAAATATATTAAAATTTATTATCTTGCTACAAATATTCATTTTAAATCTCTTTCTCTCAACAGCTTTAACATGGACAAACCTCATGAACTAACAGGATATCTCCATGCTGTATCGCCAGTGAAGAAAAGCTCAAAATCAAGCTACTTTGAAATGTTACTTCAAACTGGCTCTGATAGTACCGTTAGAGCAATATGCTTTGCCACAAAAAAACACGATGACCTGAAAGCCAGAAGTTCAAAAAAGAGCCCTGTGAAGCTCAGCAACTTCCAAATGGATCTTAAATCAAATACAGTACTTATGGACAACAAAGTCCGAATTGACGCAACCAAGGTATCATTCGCACCAAAAGAAACACCACAAACAAATAACATAGCGTCACTCTCTGGTGTCCACTTCCAACAGCTGATAACAATTAAAGCGAAAGTTACAAAGATCAGTGGTACAAAAAAAGTAACTACAGCGAATGGAGAAAAATGTAAAGCTGAATGCTTCCTCAGCGATCCATCCGGAACAATACCATTAACTCTCTGGGAAGACAAAATAAATGAAGTCAGTGAAGGAAAAACTTATACATTCCATAACGTTAGAGTTATAAAAGAATGCAAGTCTGACAAACTGGCCTTGGGCACAACGATGCATGACTGTACAGTGTCGGAAGCAGAGGACTTCATTGAATCCTTACCCCAGTCTGTTGAACTGCCTGATTCTTTTACAACCACAGAGGCCAAGGTTGAAGTCATTGGTCTGCTAACATTCGGAAAGTACCTTTCATGTTTACAGTGCCACAAAAAGGTAGCAGATGGATCTTTTACTGCCAAGATTATAAAATGTGGTAACTGTAATTTGACGCAAAAAAGAGATAAATGTATTACCAACTGTTTTGCACAAGTCAAAGTTTCACAAGATGACAACCAGTTCACTGTAACATTCTTCCAAGAACAAATTAAAAAAGTTTTTAATATCTTACAACGTCCACAAACACTGGATGAAGAAAAGATAACAGAAGCACTCTTAGATGCTCCAATCTTAAAAATAAAATATGACAATAAATCAAAGATCATAAACGAGGTATCTCCCTATATCATTTGAATAGCTGTTCATGTACTTCCCTCATCATTGGCAAAGGTTGAAAACAAAAACGTGGGAAGTGCAAACCTGTACAAACAAAATTACAAAGTTCTTTTATTAATGCCAGATTTACGCTCACATACAGCCTGTAAAACAGTATACACAGGCAGAGATGCTGTTATAGTTTATTCCTATTAAAACATTGTGTAAATGATTTCGATCAAAAAGTAACAACATACAACATTGAATGAGTGGTTCAGTTGCTATTAATTAGATTACACTTTATTGCAATTTTTTGGCAATTTCGTTAACTTTGAGTAGTTCCGTTACAGTTATTGCCCCTTAAACAGTTCTTGAAGTACCATTAAGTTTCGTTACAGTTCATTACAACATAAATATACCATGTGGAATTACTAATCTTTAACAAAATAAGTTGTGTTAATAAAAGCAATTGAATTACCACATTGTCTTTGCCACTGCGTTACGATTTTTTCCGGTACACTTATTTCCATACCTTTATATGTTACATGCAGTTCATTTTGAAAAATATTAATGCTAATGGACATACAACATAGTGAACACAAGGCAAAAAAACAAACAAAAAAAAAACACCCTAGTATAAAAGAAACAGAAGTACTACACTTGATTGCATAGAATAAAACTATCCGCTCCCAGGAAACACCTTGCACTACCAAATGTTAGCATAGCGGACCTTTTTTTAAAAAAATCACTGGAGTAACATATGCCACTGTTCTTTGTGAAAACGCCATCCTATTGCAGCAGACACAAGTACCCGTTGGGTACCTATTTTTTGTATAGTCCCCGTTACTCCGGTCCTGGTGCAATGAACAACTAAGGGACTCAGGGTAATCGAAACTTTCAAAGGATAAAAAAGATTGACAATGTTTTTTCGTGACGCACGCTATCTCTACTTTTAAGTGTTTTGGCAAATCCCGATTGTTTTGCATTTTCCTACTGATCTGTTGATGGCGCATCAGCCAAATTATCATGATCAATTTATGTGATGAAATGAAAGCCCCAAAGGATTTTTTGAAAAGAAAAGGGAAAGCGGCTTTCTATTTTGCTTGCGACGGTCCCCATAATTTTTACTGCAAGATAACGATATGTCTGCACATATGGCATGAGCATTTTTGTGATAGAAAAGACGAGAAACTTAATGAAAACAACTTATTTTCCTTTGGTAAGATATCTCTTGAAAGGGCTATATCGGGTGAAATAATCATCAAAATGCACGGATGTGTTTTCTCGTCATTTTTAGGGTCCCCACATGGTGGATTATGACTTAGGTAAAATTTCTAGCGCAAATGTAATTGTCATTTTCAAAATTTTGACCAAATAATGGGCTTGTTAGGTGGAGCTTTGCTAAGGAGAGCGATATCATTTCGATGGAATCCTGACGCACAAAAAAGCAACGGATTCAACAGGAAATAAAAATTGGCGGTAAATTATTAAATACACACGCAAAAAAAAATAAAAACAGTACAGACTGGCCCAAAAAAACAAATGTTCAAGACGGCGTAAGTTAACATGCTACGTTGATGGAATATATGTATGAATTTAGGAGATAAGATCTTGCTAGAAGCGGGTGCTCATCAAATACACGGGGTAAAGTTATTGTGAAAATATAGCGCCATAGTTAATAAGTCCACACGCACTCTGCAAACGAAATTTCCCGCACAATTCTGTAACAGAAGTACCATGGTTAAAGGCTACTTTTTCTCCTATAAACTAAGTCGGTGCAATGAGTCAACGTTTACTGGCGGTAAGCAGGAGGGATGGAAGCTGTTAACTTTTTGACGTTAGTGTTATGTATCGAAACAACAAAACCTAATTAAGGGGAACCTGTTAAAGATAAGAAACATTAAACGGCACAAATTTATTTTTTGTGTAGTCCCCATTTCTCTGGTCCTGGGCCAATGAGCAATTAAGGGGACCAAAGGTGATCGAAATGCGTCCACGGGTAAGAAAGATGAAAAGACTATTTTTTTTTTGTCTAAAGAACCGAGTGAAAAATGTTTTTTCGTGACGTGCGTTATCTCTACTTTTAAGTATTGTGACAAATCCAAATTTTTTGCATTTTTTACTGATCTTTTAACTTGTTTATTTGTATAGTCCCCATTTCTCCGGTCCTGGGGCAATGAACAATTAAGAGGACCTAAGGTGATCGAAATTTGTCAATGGATAAGAAACTATTTTAAGGTAAGCTATAAGTCGCTATGTTCTTAACTTTTATTTTTCTGTTCTACATTGTCCCTACCGGATAATCTTTGGTGAACAACGGAGCAAATTTTAACTTGGTCCCCACATTGTCCGAAGACAATATTTTAGTCGTGCAGTGTAACTGATTGCTGTGATTATCATGATCAATTTATGCAATGAAATGAAAGCACCATGCCTTTTCCGCGGGAAGAATTGAACCTAGTTTGAGGGAATTTATTTAGCTGGTCGTTTCTGAATTGAACGGTTGACTAAGAAATTAGGGTAAAATTGCGAAGAGAAAGCGGCTTTTTTTTTTTTCTTGCGACGGTCCCCATAATTTTTCACTGCATGATAACAAAATGTCTGCACATGAGGCATGAGCAGTTTGGTGATAGGACAGAAACTTAATGAGAACAACTTAATGTTTCTTTGGGTCAGATATTTATTGGAAGAGGCTACATCGGGTGAAATAATAAACAAAATGCTCGGTGGGCAAAGGCTGCTTATGCTGTCTACTAAGTCAGTGCAATAAGTAAACGTTTACTGGCGGGTAGCAGAGGGATACAAGTTGTTAACGTTTTGACTTCAGTGTAATGTATCGAAAAACAAAAACCCTAATTAAGGGGACCCACGGAGTGGTGAGTGAATCTGTTCAAGATAGGAAACATTAGACGGCATAAATTTATTTTTTTTGTAGTTCCCATTGCTCCGGTCTTGGAGCAACGAACAATTTAGGGGACCAAAGGTGATCGAAATTTGTCAAAGGATAAGAAAGATGAAAAGACTATTTTTTGTCTAAAGAACCGAGTGAAAATGTTTTTTCGTGACGTGTGTTATCTCTACTTCTAAGTGTTGTGATAAATCCAAATGTTTTGCATTTTTTTACTGATCTGTTAATGAAACATAAGCCCAACTGCCAGTATGATAAGCATAGCAAGTTCCATGAGACTTCAGTTGCATCTGGAGTGTAAGCGGAGCCAAAATGTAACTATTTTAAAGGTAAGCTATAAGTCATCGTTATGTTCTTCACCTTTCACTTTTCTGTTCTGTTCTGTTGTGTGACATCGGACCAAATTTTAACATGGTCCTCACATTGTCCAAAGACGAAATTCTCAGTCGTGCAGTGTTACTGATTACTGCGATTATCATGATTAATTTATGTGTTGAAGTGAAAGTACCGAGCCTTTTCAACGGAAAAATTGAACTTAGTCTAAAGGATTTAATCTAGTCGCTCGTTTCGATCAGTCGATTTAGAAATTCAGATAAAATTGCGAAGAGAGGGCACCTTTTTTCCTTGCGAAGGTCCCCATAAAATCTGATGCATGATGGTGACGAGTTTGTACATAAGGCGCGAGCAGTTTAACGATAGAAAAGGGCAGAAGCTTAATGAGAACAGTTTATTGTTTCTTTTGGTAAGATGTCTATTGGAAGAGGCTATGTCGACTCATAAAATCGGGTGAAATGATAATTAAAATGCACGGATGTGTTTTCTCGTCATTTAGAGGTCCCCACATGGTGGGTTATATCCATGGCAAAATATTTAATTAATTGCGAAAATAGTATGACCAAATAGACTTGACGATGTTTCCAAACCATGGACTTGAGAGGTAAAACTTCGCTGAGGGGAGCGAAGAAAGTTCCATGAAATTGTGTGGCAGAAAGACAGCAACAGATTCGACATTAAAAATTGGCGGGTAATAATTAATAACACACGCAAAAAAATAAAACAGTGCAAAGTGGCTCAAGAACACAAAATTGCTCAAGGCGGCGTAAGTTAAATTGTTTCGTTAATAGGATTTACGTATGAATTTAGGCGATGAAATCTTGCTGGAAACTGGTGTTAATCAAATACAAGGGGTAACTTTTTTCGTAGAGATACAGCGCCATAGTAAGAGTCCCCATGTGCTCTGCAAACAAAATTTCCCGCGCAATCCTGTAATCTATTACTGTGCTGATTAATTTATGTGATGAAGTACAACTGCATATCGAACCTTTTAATGGAGAAACCTGGACGTTATTTATCAGAACTTACTTTAAAAATAATTTACCGTGTTGGTTTTTAGCTGAAAATCTACTTCAAATTCGGGGGATTTGTTAAAAAAAAAAAAAACGGAATTTTTTTTTCTTGTGCGGGAATGGCCATATTATTTAGTATGAGTTCATAACATGTTTGCGCGGTCTTAGGTTGCTAATATTCTCTGTGCTGCAATATGACCCTCAAGATAATTTTTTTGCGATGATAGCGACCTAAGGTGCCCACACGGTCTGTACACAAAATCGTTTGTCATGCTGTTACTGGTTGTTCGTTGTTGTTATTGTCATGATGAAATTATAGGATAAATTTGAAGCTATCGAATTATTTTTTTTTTAAATAATGAACTTAATTTACCAGAATTTGCCGCACAGAAAGTTACTTAGTTGGTCGAGTAAGAAATTTGGGTAAAATTGAGACGAAAAGACGGATTTATCTATTTGAGAAAGTCCCCGTTCTTAATCACTGATCACTCGGCGAAAAGTGTAAATACGATGATCACAATGTTTACCAAATATAAATTTAAGGGTTAAAACTTTGCTAAGGAGAGCGAGAGCATTTCAATGGAATCGTGTGGGGGAAAGTGACCAAGAAATTTGACAGGGAATAAATTGGCGGGAAATTAATGAGGGGCCAAAAATTGATCTGTACAAATCGGCCCAAGGACGCAAAATTTCTCAAGACGGCGTAAGTAAAACGTTCCTTTGATGTGATTTATTTGTGAATTAAGTTAATGAAGCCTTGCTGGAAAACGGGCGCCAATCGGGGT